CTTTTCTCTCTGTCTCTCTGTCTGTCTGTCTGTCTGTCTCTCTCTCTCTCACACACACACACACACACACACACACACACACAGAGTCATACCTTATTTAACTGTTCACTTTGTAACTCTATGTGTATCCACAAGTGACGATTATTTTGGTTTTAAGAGGCCTGAATGACAAAAATCCACGTACTAAGCTGAATGAGACTCCTTTTCTAGAATTAGGAAATTATGTCAGAATTAATTCATAATTCAGTTTAATTTTCACGTGACTTTTCTATCATCTTCTATCTTTTCCAAGTTAACTCTGTTTACCAGCCTTGAAAGAGTTTGGAAAGAATCGGTGGTGAAGAAACACTATATCTTTTTTTCTGACTCCAGTAGAGAAACAGTGATGATTCATTCTGAAAGCTTACTTAATGTTGACTCAACAAATTTAGAAGGAAGACCAGCCGGCTTCCCTGAACCTTTGGTTAAAGAGCCCATCCTACCCTCCTGCCCATCTTTCTGCTAACAGACTCAGCATATTACTGACCAAGTACAACTATTGGGTCGTCGGGAAAGTCATGACGTATTTTTCTATGTTTTTCAATGAAAAATGCATCATGACTTTCCCAACAACCCAATAAGAAATCAGGGTTTAAAAAAAAAAATCCCTAGGATTTAAGAAGCTAAAAGGTAAAAAAATAAAACTTCCAAATATTGGGTTGTTGGAAAAGTCATGACACATGTTTCCAACAGATGGCTTTTGGAAGTACTAGAGTCATTCGCATCTATGTTATTGCTATGTCATTTGACAGCTGACAGTTCTAGCTTCATTAAAAAAAAACTTGAGCGATTTTGTTGAGTTTTGGAGATTTTACAAGTTGAAGATGGAAGACCAAACTGTGCATTTTTGCCATAGTTTGCTTTTTTACTTCCATAAAGAGAAGACTGTGCATCAAGCTTGTGAAAAGTTGCATAAAGTTTACGGTGACTATGCTGTACAGGAATGTCAGTGCCAACGATGGTTCACGAAATTCCGTGCTGGTGATTTTGATCTTAATGACGCTCCTTGGTCAGGGAGGCCCACCGAGGTTGATGAGGACAAAATAAAGGCGTTGATCGTGTCAAACCCACGTAACACGACATGAGAGATTGCAGAAACATTGAACATCCATCATTCAAGCGTTCACGACCACCTGAAGAAGCTGGGATACATAAGCAAGCTCGATATTTGGGTTCTGCATGAACTCAAAGAAGTTCATTTGATGGCGCATATAAACATCTGCAATATGCTCATTAAACGTGAGGAAAACAATCCTTTTTTGAAGCTACTGATAACTGGTGATGAGAAGTGGATTGTTGACAACAATGTGGTGTGCAAATGGTCTTGGTCCCGATGTGATGATTCTCCTCAAACGACATCGAAAGCAGACATTCATCAGAGGAAGAT